GTTCTTGTAGGTGTTATTGCTGTAAATATCTGTTAAGATATTAATTAAAAACTGAATGTGGACAATGGTTGCGTTTTTTGGTGAATTTCTTCTGAATGACAAGGGCGCACTTAGAAATTCATAAAAAAATTACTAATTATTCTTTTTCTTTCAAATTTTCAGGAATTGTTGCTGAAATGTCAATAATTAGCTTTTTTATCAAACAATCTTCAGGAACCTATACCTATCAAGATAAGTGACTTTTACCTCAATTTTTTATACTATTTCTTACCAATTTTGTCTTTTACATATATTTTTCAGGAAATTCCTGGTATTTAATGAAAAAAAGTTTTATTTTCCTGAGAAGCCCATTTCATATACTTTAAAACGAGATATTTAAAGTGTTATTGCTGTAAATAATTTGAGATCTTACTTAAAAACTGAATGCGGACAATTGTTGCGTTTTTTACTCAATTTCTCTTGAATGACATAGGCGCACATAATAATTCATAAAAAATTTAATATTTATTCTTTTTCTTTCAGATTAATAATTTGTAACTAGCATGTTTTATCAATAATCTTCATAACCTATACTTATGAGGATAAGTGACTTTTACCCTGCGTTTTTCACTTTTTTTTTTTTGCTTATTTTGTGTTTTAAACCTATTTTTTTCAGGAAAGTCCTAGATTTCAATGATGAAATTTATAATTCCGTTAAAGCCCGTTTTATACACTTTAAAATGAGATATTGTAGGTGTTATTGCTATAAATATTTGTTAAAAATATTTGCCGCCCAAGATGACTTTAGTAAAGCGTGATTGGGCGATTTTTTTTCTCGTGAATCATGATTTGATTTTGTTTATTCGGGAATCGTGATTGAAAATGATGAGATCTTTTCGTGTCCACATAAACGAATTTTTTTTTATCCAAACATGACCCGTGAATGAAGAGCTGAATTAAACGTGATTCGTGAACCATTCTGTTTCATGTGATTAATCTCCCGCTATTTTGTTGTTTTATAATTTGTACGCATTTTTTAAAATGGCTCTGGTTAGGTTTTTACCACGCTTTCGACTGTACATGCATGGACTTCATGTGAATTGTTAAAAGTCATAAAACAGACCGCAAATGATTCTCGAACAAATGCATTTCGTTGGAATGTAAAAGAACTTTGGATTTTACTCGTAATGGGCTAAATACTTTTAAGTGACTGAGATTTAAAAAGGCAATAGGGCACCCTCCACGAAGGCATAAGTCGTCTGGTACACCCTTAGTTAATGACATTTTCAGTGTTATGGGCTAAACAGCAGTTTGCATATACCTAATTGGCAATCAGATTCTAAGCCCTTCGACCATAAATATGCTATCAACACTTTAGGCCTCTCCCCGCCAATTAAGTTTGTGACGAGAGAAAAAACCTTAATACACTTTTGTTATAATTGGATTGACTTAATCTGGTACTTACCAAAAAGCACAATGGCTTCTAATAGAGCAATGAGTTTGGCGCTTAAGCCCATTGTGTCAGCTCTGAAGTAAGACCTGAAAGTAATGTGGGGTTTGAAGTTGTGTATTATGTCTTAAATTAAACATCTTGTCCCCCGTGTTGGTAATTAAAATGCTAATATGAGTTTTAAATTTTTGTTTTAAGTTGTTATACAAACCATGAGTATGCCTTAACAACGATAATTTTTGTTATTTCAATTACAGATCCGGGACTCTCTTTGTCAAAACTAATTAAGGACACGGTAGACCTTCGAGGACCA